ACTCAACCCTTTAAAGACCCTAATTCTTTTTTTCACTTCTTCATGATGGGGTCTTTCATTATTCCTTCTCTGTGACTACTTTTCCTTCACTGAAGACTGTATCGTATGCCAGCATTATCTACCTGTTGGTCAAACTGTTTCTCCCTATTTTCCCTTTAGTCTATGCTTTCTCCATCTCTTATCTGACATCTTTTATTTTATCTTTAACTACTTAGTTGTGCTGTTACCACATATGCTGCTGCCACAGCTCCCTCCTTTGACCACCTTTGCAGTTAATCTCTCTTTTTTGTGCTCTTTACCCTTTAATTTCATCTGCTGTGTGCCTCCCAGGACAGCCATCGCACACTCACTGCAAACAAACGCTTACTCTCTGGAAACTTTGGAATTTGGACGGCCTTCATGCCTCGAAAAAGAAAAAGAATTTTCAAGCCACACAACCAAGAAACTAGAACGAAACAATTCATTGAAAGAAACTCAGGCAGCTCCCCTTGTTTTTATATCAAAGAGCTATTCAACTGAAAAATCATCAAAGCAGAGTTTACTAAAAATAACTAACATCAGTGAAACTAACAACTATTAAAATATCAAATTCATTTTCTCACATCCAAAACAAAATTGATGGCTCTCAATCCCTTCTCTAACTTAAATCCTTCATAGATAATACCTCACACTGCTGCATATCAATCTGTAATTCAGTTTCAATAAATTAGCAAACTTTATGAGATGTCATCATTTTTCTAATTTTGTTCCTTCTCCTCTCACCAGTGCTCTGTACCCTCCTTATCTCTAGTTTGCTCCAAAAAGTATCTTCAGCCTGTTATTCTGAACTACATTTCCTTTATTATCATAAGACTTTAGTAGGCTGTTTCACTATAAAATAATACTTTAAATGATGACAATGTAGACCACCATTGCTCTAGTAATTAATGATAACAATTTAGGCTATAATGCTCCAAAATAATTCACAACAATCCATACGAGGGTTTGTAAGTACAGAGCGACTAAGCCTGAGAGGGAGAGGGAAAGAGGTGTGTGAGTAGCCATTTCCTGTGAGCTATTAATAATATATTTAATTTTAAATTAAATTTACAAAGGAAAGTTTTCAATTCAGTTTTTTGTTTCATGAAAAATTCCACAACAAATAATTGTTGTAGTTATTTACTACTACACCACCATTACATTTTTCCTGTTGCGCACCCCCTAGAGAGAGCTCACGCACCCCCAGGGGTGCGCCCATCACACTTTGGGAATCGCTGAACTAGAGCATTAGTTTCATATCAGTGAGAGCACAAATCCTCAGATGTGAATATCTGAGTTTAAAGTCAGAATTTGAGAATAAACTATCAACGATTACACAAACAGTGGAGAGAAGAATATTACATGAAGATATGTACATACTGATCACATAATCTGCCAGCCTGCGCCAGATGATGATGCAAAGACACAAAACTTGCAAACATGCAATGAAAAAGGGATGTGGTTAGAATTCAAGATAAAATAGATAATAATCACACTTTCCAAGAAAGCAAACTGCTGTATAAAAGGGTCCACTTGACACCCCCAAGAATACAAGTCAGTTAAATTGCTGGCATCATGCATGGTCTGCACAAACGTCTGCTCTTTCATGTTCTGACATGTCTCGTACAAAACGGTAAGATTACTAAATCTTTCTATTATCCTCCATCAATTTCATCAGATGTTGACTGAATATAGATTTTCACTTATCTTTGCAGCACTTGGAGGTAAAATCATAGATGGGGACAAAGCCCCAGAGAACTCTATGCTGTATATGGTCTCTCTGCAGAACATCCGTGGTCATGTCTGTGGCGGATTCCTCATCAGTGAATACTTTGTAGTCTCTGCTGCACACTGTGACCATGTGTGAGTTACTTTGCCTCTTCAATCGTTTTTTTTTTTCAAATGAATGTAAATAGAAGTCAAATAAAAAATATTCTGGTTTTACAAAACCACTATTTTCAGTTGGTTTGTAGCTTTGTTTTGTTGTTGGCACAACTTGAAAAAATCCACTAACAACTTCACAAATTACTTTTTCAGGAATCCCACACGTGTTGTTCTTGGCACCCACAATCTCAAGGCTGAAAATACAATGAGATATATTGAAAAGAAGTGCAAACCCCCATCTTATGAAAATGTTGGAACAGGGAATGACATCATGCTCCTCAAAGTAAGTTAATACATTTAACCGATAAGTCCCAGATGACATCTTGCATTTTACAGTCAAATTATTTAAATTGTATTAATTAAGTATTTAAATGTAAAAAGTCTAATAATATAAAATAAAAATGTCCCTGAAATGCAATAATTTAATTTAAAACTGGCAAAAACACATCCCTATCAAAACTATTCAGGGCAGCTACCAATACATAAACTGTAACAATGCAAACAGTAACCTTCATTTTCATAATTCATCATCTCCAACTTATAACAATTGTTTAACAGAAATCTGATGAAGAGTTCAGACAGTTTTTAATTGATACTTTCTGACTTTGTGTGTCTCCAGCTGTCTAGTGCAGTTCAGCTGAACGAGAGAGTACAGCTTATCCAACTTCCCAAGACTGAAATTAGCATGAAAGATGGAGAAAAGTGCAGTGTGGCTGGATGGGGTATGACTGAAACTGGTGGTGCAATTGTTGATGACCTGAGAGTGGTGGATGTGTCTGTCATCAATCTAGAAGACTGTAAGAAGACATGGCAGAATCTTCCTGCCAATGTTCTCTGTGCAGGTGGATATGACACAAAGAAAGGATTCTGTCAGGTATGTTCTCTGTCTGTTCATAGAAAGTCTCAACTGGTTTCTAGTCTAAGCAACGTATGAACATTTTACATCATCTTGAACAAACATATTAATATATTTCCTCTTCACAGGGTGATTCTGGTGGTCCTCTGGTGTGCAACCGGATGGCAGTTGGTATCGTGTCTTTCAACAGAAATTACAACTGCACCTATCCAAATGTACCCAACGTCTACACAGACATATCAAAATACCTGCCCTGGATCAACAAGATTCTTGAGGAAAAGAACTGTTGAATGTAACAGTGTTACAGATTGTTTTTGAATAAACATTTAATGGATCTATTGCTTTGTGCAAGTCACTTTGTCAGCCAAATAAAAAAATGTGTTTTCATTCTGTGACACCTTTCATCAGTAGACACTAATGCAAATATTCTTTATCAAACAAGATAAGATGAAATACTTTTGGATGAAGCCTACAGTATCCACAGTTGAAAAGGAACTTTCTGTGGTTTCTGTGGTTCATCAAGATTGTTGCACAATTCAGAGAAATGCTTGGGTCATGTGCATAGGCGGAATTCGGGGGTCAGGTCCCCCCCTATCTGAGGGGTAAATAGTAAAACAATACAAACGCAAAGAGGGCAATTAAAGTGCGTTTTAAGTTTAGAAACATTTTGAGTCCCCCCTCCCTTGCCGCACAGTGGTTTTGTCCACTGCCTGCTTTCCCTTTCACAGGAGTCCGGTGGGAGAAACCAGTTTGAATCCTTGTTATGCACTAAACATTGGATGAACTGATTCTTTTGTCTTTAATACAGATGATGCTGAGTCATTAATAAATTAATCATGACAAAATGTTATGATAATTTTTCTATGAGCCCACTCTGTTATAACATTACCTGCCTTATTTGGTAGCTTGTTGAACAGCTTTTTGGACTGGAACTCACCTTCTACAGCTAGAGATGCGCAGATTGATCAGCTGGGGACTTTCGCTTACTCGGCTCTGACTAGCGACCGGGGCCGAGCAGTATCAAATATCCAATTTTCTGCCGGTCACATTGAACGTTACAAACACGCTACACTGCGCCGTGTTTCGCATGCACAGACAGTAACATCATGTCACAGCCACACACACACAGGCTAAAACACGTCTTAGGTGTGTGGAAGCTATTCACGTGAGTGAAGAAGGCGCAACGCTCACTACATCTGCAGAGAAACACACAGAAAGAGACACTGTGGATATTGTAAAGCAGGGAGCAGGTAAAGACACAGGCACACAGCTGTTGGTAAGGTGACAATGAGTGCTTCTCAAGTCTCTTACTTGCATCCACGTTTCCCTCACTTGCGTCTTTTCCAAGCCAGGAGGGAAGGAACGAGGAAATATGTTTGTAGAGACATGAGACCTCCTTGCCTCTGAAGCGTCACTAAAGCGACGTCTGTTCCTGATGACTGCGGTAGCTGATCACAGCTGGATCAGCTGTCAGTCGGCTCAAACAGCTGTAGAGACTTTTGATGTAGTTTGTGTCTACATACATGTGCACTGTGTTGGTACTAATAAAGTCACTGTTATCGGTGCAGAGCAGCACGATTCTCTGTTACCTGTTTAACAAACACCTGCACGTGAAAAATTATAGGTTACTGATGTCCTGCTGCGAGGCACATGATCATTTCTACTGGCACAGTGCTTATAGGCTATTATCTGCATTTATAGATTCTGATTGTAAATTCGTTACTGAATAACCCAGAAAATGATCATGGTGTCTTGGGATTTGTTAGGCTAAATGTTTCAGGGAAATTGAAATGATGTAACTTGTATCAAAGTCAACGCTCAGTTTTTGGCTTTCCATTTATTTTCTTCTGATATCCTTTAACACTACTGCATACATTTTATTTGCAAGTCGCATCACTTGTTACCGGTCGATCACTGCGTTCCATCATATCAATCCAACGATTTTTTTTTAGCGCAGCAGCGTTTTCATTCACACTTTCATCAACTGATTTTACTTGCGGAGCCGCCGGCTGCTTTCATCAGATGCTTTGCTCGCTTCATTAGACATTTTGGTGCAGTTTCGTGACTTGAATTAAAATGGTTTGTAAGTTATTTTCAGCTCCTTCCAGTATAAATGCCAATGTTATTTTATAATCAATGTGTCATTATGACCATACAATTGTATGGACCCCAGTGAATAAATAGTTACAAAAATGTGTGTGTAAGCTGTCAATTATAGTTCTTAGAAAGAAATTAAATCGGAATGGCCAAAATTAGAATCGGCAGGTCAGACCTTTTAAAATTCCAAGTGGGTTTTGCGCATTATGATGTTAAGTGGCAGATCAGTTGGCCTGCTGCCCTTAAATATCGTGTATATATATCTGATCCACAAGGAAGACAAAGAACCTTTATGGAGGGACAAGCCGCTGCACGGCATGTACCACAGACAAATAGAAGAAGTGGCTGATATCAAGAAATCCTACCAGTGGCTGGAAAAGGCTGGACTAAAGGACAGCACAGAAGCACTAATCATGGCGGCACAAGAACAGGCACTCAGTACAAGATTAATAGAGGCTGGGGTCTACCACTCCAGGCAGGACCCCAGGTGCAGACTGTGTAAGGATGCCCCAGAGACAGTACAGCACATAACAGCAGGGTGTAAGATGCTGGCAGGAAGTACATACATGGAATGCCATAACCAGGTAGCTGGCATAGTGTACAGAAACATCTGCCATGAGTATGGGCTCCTGATTGATTACAGGTAAAACATCAAAGGTCTCTGTCCAGAAGAGTGCAGTCCTACGAACAGCTAAGATACTGCGCAGAACCCTCAAACTCCCAGGCCTCTGGTAGAGGACCTGAGCTTGAGGATGACACATACCACCCCGCAAGGGGTGAGGGGGGGATTTTTAAATTTTTTAATTTATATATATATAGCGGATGAAATCAGTATTGAACCATTTTTCTCAGTAAATATATTTCCAAAGGAGCTATTGACATGAACCTTTCATCCCATGATGGGTAAAAGCAAAGAGATGTCGCAAGGCCTTCGCAACCTAATTGTTGCAAAACACAATGATGGCATTGGTTATAGGCACATTTCTAAGCTTCTGAATGTTCCAGTGAGCACTGTTGGGGCACACTGTAATACGGAAGTGGAAAGACAATCATTTCACCATAAATTTGTTTCGACCAGGTGCTCCTCGCAAGATTTCTGACAGAGGAGTGAAAAGAATAATCAGAAGAGTTGTCCAAGAGCCAACGACCACTTGTGGAGAGCTTCAAAAGACCTGCAATTAGCAGGTACTGTAGTCTCAAAGAAAACAGTAAGTAATGCACTCCACCGCCATGGCCTGTATGCACGCTCACCACGCAAGACTCCATTGCTGAAGAAAAAGCATGCTGAAACTCGTTTAAAGTTTGCTGCACAACATTTGGAAAAGACAGTGAAATACTGGGACAATATAGTGTGGTCAGATGAGAGCAAAATTGAACTGTTTGGATGCCATAATACACACCATGTTTGGAGGAGAAATGGCACTGCACATGACCCTAAAAACACCATACCAACAGTGAAGTTTGGAGGTGGGAACATTATGGTGTGGGGCTGCTTTTCAGCAAATGGTACTGACAAACTTCACATAATTGAAGGAAGGATGAATGGGCAAATTTACAGAGACATTCTTGACAGAAATCTGCTGCCATCTACCAGGATGATGAAAATTAAACGATGGTGGACATTTCAGCAAGACAATGATCCCAAACACACAGCCAAGGAAACTCTCAACTGGTTTCAAAGAAAGAAAATAAAGCTGCTAGAATGGCCCAGCCAATCACCTGACTTAAATCCCATTGAAAATCTATGGAGAGAACTAAAGATCAAGATTCGTAGAAGAGGCCCACGGAACCTTCAGGATTTGAAGACTCTTTGTGTGGAAGAATGGGTCAAAATCACACCAGAGCAATGCATGTGACTAGTTTCTCCATACAGGAGGTGTCTTGAAACTGTCATTACCAACAAAGGCTTTTGTACAAAGTATTGAATAAATATCAGTAAGCGTGTTCAATACTTTTTCCCTGTGTCATTTCACATTATTACACATAACTTCATTTCTGAACGTCTTTGTTTTGGTTTCTTTGTATCTATGGATTACTTGGGTTGTTATCAACATCTGGTGAAAAGTTCATGTAAATAGCTCCTTATTATTTAATTTACTTATATATTTACTAAGAAAAATGGTGACGTGTTCAATACTTATTTCACCCGGTGTATATATATAATAGACATCCTCTATTCTAAATGACTATGTGGCCTAGAGGACGCAAGTCATTTAGAATAATATGACTGCATGGTGAACCTGAAATTAAGTCATATTTAAACAACTATTGCTTTGTGTTGTTGGCCAGAAAAATAGTAGTAAGACTTCTCTCTGTGTACACATATCCTATTCAAGTACAATTTTGGCTGTATTATTTGCGTCCCCTTCAAAAATTGCTCTTGTGAAATTTTATGTTTATTGTCCCACCCTACTGTCAGATGAAATTTACGCCCATGGTCATGTGCAAGCAACAATCTCCAGGGATGAGAAATGAAGACAACACGGCCAAAAACTGCAGTTCATCGAATGGCCACTTGAGGCTAGCTCCAAAAGTTAGTTAATCTACATTTATCACGTTTATCTGTTCTCATAGTAGTATGCAAATAAAGTGACAGAAGGAGAAATGACATGGCCCAAAATGAAAAATATCAAAACTAAAAGTGTCAGACGCAAAATGATTGTAGTAGTGTGTATGCATCATTTGGATTTTTTCTCATCCAAATGATGCATACGCACTACATAAATGCACTGTTTTAAATCAATTTGTGCATCTCTGCATGCTTTCACACTTCACATTTTTCACTATGTTCTTGTTGTGTGGGAATTATTACATAAAAATGTTGAGAGATATCTCCAGTTCAGATAAGTTATTCCTCTCCCATTTAATAAACAACCAGAAGGTCACATTCTTGTTCAAGGCCAGCCTACGGTAATATCAGTCAGTTTATAATACGCGTGTTACATACAACATGTTCCACTTGGTCAAGTGAAACACTGACAGATCAAGTCATGATGCTCCGTTAGACTTCCACCTGTCAGTCAATGATCACGTGACTTTAGAGCTCTAGTTGTGACTGTGAGAATACCGACTCGACGTGAAGCTGTGGTTTCTGTTACTCATTTTGATTTTTGTGCTGCTTAAAGGTTACGGCTTGCAGTATATGCGTCACAGGTTTAAGAATTCCCAGAAATAACAAAACACAGAGGTTGACAGAGGGCAAAAGATACAAGAGGAAAAAATAATTGAATGATAATAAATGTAGAAGAGAGTAAATGGGTTAACATTACAGATTGTGTTAAACTCATCATGTGCTGATCACATATATGTATGTATGCATATGTATTTATGTGCTTCAGGCAGCAGAACCACAGTCATGGTCATGGAAGTCATGGTGAAGCAGATGAAAACCATATCATAAATGGTAAAAAGACCCCAGAGAACTTAATGCTGTTCATGGCCTCAGTGCAGAAAAACATGGGTCATCATATGTGGAGGATTCCTCATCAGTGAAGACTTTGTGGTCACTGCTGCGCACTGTGACCGCCAGTGAGTTACTTCCCCTCTTTCAGTAATCTTTGTTTTATGTAATTAGAAATCTAAATCAAATGAGCCTAACCTTTAGCAAACAGTTTTGTTTATTTTATTTGTTTTGTTGGCACAACTCGTGGAAAACTGACAACATCTCAATGATCATTCACTCAGGAATCCTACAAATGTTGTTCTTGGCACCCTCAATCTCAGGAAGGTTGACAATGACACAATGAGATACAGGGTAAAATACAAGCAAGCATCCATCCTACACTAAACTAGCATCTATGAATGACATCATGCTCCTCAAAGTAAGTAGATATTTAATCAGTCTCAGGTCAAATCATGCATTTTTAAAGTAAAATATTGTACTTTCATGTTTTATGTAGATCAGTCCAAGCCCCCCCAAAACTGTAAAAAAACCAACAACAAAAAACAAACAAAGCAAACAAATAAGTATGCTATAAATTGTTCCTTGCTGGTTTTTCATTTTCTCTTTGTGATTTTGTGTCTCCAGCTGTCTAAGAAAGCTCGACTGGGCAAAAGAGTCAGGCCAACTCATCCAAGAGTCTGGGCAACTGACTCAACTTCCAAATACTGTTTTACAACAACAAAGTTACAACAAACTTAATGTACTCCAGTGTTTCAGTGTTTTCCTTCAAATTTAAAACTGCAGGGTTTTAAGCCAGACAATTGCATTAGAATGTTAATTAAACCACTGTTTATCTCCTCTTTGTAATGTGAACGAAACTGACACATCTTTTTTTTTAGTGCCAGAAGGATCCTTTTGTTCAACTTCGTCATAGCCTCCTAAGATTGGGTATCGACCGTTTTGGAGACAACCCCTGTTGTGCTGTATGACTAGTTGGTAGAGCAAGGACTGTGTATTCCTGTAGATCAAAAGGGGTTCTGCGTCTGGGGTCGGCGCTTTTATTCGACCAAAAGCAACGTAGAACAGTAAGGTACACCCTTCCTAATTGGGTGACAAAGAAGTAACCAAATGACCAATGGCTATGGTCCTGAGCCATTTGGAGGAAAAAGACCCGCCCACATACCTGGAGGATATTAACAATTCATTTTGTGAGAATCAGGACTGTAAGCTGTAAATCTGAAAAGAGGAACAACTTTCCAGTCCACTGCAGTGTTTTTGTTTCATGTTTGTTCTGTAATGCCATCTTTTATTCACCTATTTTTTAATTATATTTTCTTGTTAATTTTCATCGGATCCAGCCTCTCCTTTCTCAAAATCTGAAAAAACGCAACAATGCTGACAATAAAATAAAACATAAAGAAAAGTGCCAAGTAGCTGGATGGGGTTCCACAACAACTGGTGGTAAAGCTGTTGATGTACTGCAAGTGGTGGACGTGCCTTTTGTCAACCTGGAGGTCTGTAAGAAAGAATGGGCCGATATTGGCTTAAATCTTCCTGCCAATGTTATTTGTGCAGGTGGATATGACACAAAGAATGGATTCTGTCAGGTAGTATTTTCTAATTTCATTGCTTTTTAGCCTTAGAAATTGAATAAACAAATGAAGCTCCTTCCTGCTCCTCACAGGGTGATACGGGTAGGCTGTTGGTGTCGTGTCTTTCAACATGAAATTAAACAACCAACATGGCAACTGTGACGACCCAAATGTCCCCAATGTCTATACAGATGTGTTTAAATACATTCCCTGGATCAACAAGATTCGGAAGCAAAAGGACTGTTAAATGTAACAATCCAGCAAACATTTATTGAAAGTATTATTATGGCTCCTCAGTTCTGGAGCTGCTTTCCACTTAGCATCAGGTCTGCTTAACCTAATTTTTACAGAATGGCCTTTCTTAACAATTGGCATTCTCATTTCTTTGGAAATGACTCTATAATGGCTCTATAAATAAGGAGTTATTTTTGAGTTTAAGTTGCTCTGTCAGTGTTTGTTCTGAAATGCAAAATAAATCTTCTTTGTCAAATACTTTATTTTTCTGTGGTTACATTCTCCATCAGAACACAGAAATAGCATGTAAGTTAAATATACATTTACATAGGTTATGTATATATGTCAGGATTGGCTGAGTGCAGATGCAGGTGTGGTGTAAGTGAAACACGCTTACATGAAGCACAGCAGGCAAGAGTCCAAACAAAGGTAAATCCAACAGAGCAGAAATAATCTAAATCACAGAAACAGGACATGGAGTACACAGAACAGAAGCAGGGAGGGAGTGAACAGGTGAAAGACACGAGCGACTAATCACAAATATGAAATAAGCATATCTTTCTTTCTTCATAGAGTCCTCTTTTGGTTTGTGCTGTATGTATATTGGTGTATGTACAGATGTTTATGTTTGACACTTCATTTAAACATATCTTTCAGGATTAAGGTCAAATAAAACATTAGCAGACTGAGTAACAATGCTAAACTATCATCTGTGAACTAAGAATGAAAGGAACTTCACTAGAGCATCAGTTTCATAACTGTGCTGTGAGAACCTGAATCTGAAAAACTGTGGTTTCGGTGGACAGACAAAATGGCCACTCTCAGTCTCTGGACATGCCAGTTTTTGAACTTTCACTTTTTGATTTTGTGTGTCTCTGCACGCTCGACTGGGCAAGAAAGTAAAGCTCATTTCAGCTTTCAAAAAGTGAGTTTCCAAAAAGTGAGTTTGTGTGAAACATGCAAGTGTGAAACATGCAAAATTAAAAAATATAATGTTGAAGGGTGAAAGAAGTCTTGCAATAGAAACATGCAGTCAGTCTCATACTGGTCATGTGTATGTTTCACTCTGATGTACCACAAGATCTGCAAGTATTAGCTGATGGGGCTGCAGTCTCAGAGCAAACTAGCCACAACCTGTGGAGATGAGGAGATAAAAACATATGCTGTTGACTCTGAGGATGGAAACAGTCAGTATTGTTGAATAAAACACTGCAACAACTAAACCTGGATGTCAAAAAAATGTTATAACATTTTTATGTAATAATTCCCACAACAAGATCATAATGAAAAATGTTTTGAAAAGTGTAAGAATAATCTCTGTTAGGCACAGTGGTGCTTTGAGCTAAATGCCAGCCTGCTAAAACGCCCATAATGACAATGCTAACATGCTGATGTTTAACAGATGTGATGTTTACCATGTTTGCCATCTTATTTTTGTGTGGCAGCATGCTGATATTAGCCCTTAACAGTATAGTGCAGCGGAATATCATTTGTTTAGCAAATGTGTGGTCAGAAATAAAATATAGGACAAAGTAAAATTTTCATCTGATGAAAACATTTAAGGGATCACCAAAGTTATTTTCATCAGTAGGAGATGAATGTCGGCAGAAATCTCATGACAATCCATCCAATAACTGTGAAGACACTATAAGCAAAACTAAAATGTCAGCCTCACAGTGGCGCTAGAGGAAAAGTTCGGCGATCACCAAAGTCATTAGGATTCATCCTCTTGGGGCCACGGATGTCTGAACAAAATTCCATGGCAGTTCATAGTTGTTGAAATATTTCAGTCTGGACCAAAGTGGCGGATCAAAGTGGCTGACAGTTACTTGAGTAATGCCACTACTGTGGGTAAAAAAACAGATATTGAAAATGTCCTAAATACCAAATGTGAAATACAAATGTAATCTCACCTTATCCCATACTCATGGACATACAGTCGCACGGCTCACAAACAGCTCTTTATTTAGTATCACTTATGCAGGTCACTGCCTAAGTAACTTTCCCAGCTCTATCTTCAAGTTAAATTGAGGTTCCTCTTAAAGAAAATTAAAAAATGTTGCTTAGCTCGATGGGGTTCAACCAGGACTAAGGGTAAAGATGTTGATGATATTTTTCTTTATTCTTTTATAATTCTTATAGAACTTGCATTTGTTTAAATGGGAAAGGAAATATTAACCTTACGGGACATATCTGACCACAGAATGTTGGTTAGGTCTTACGGCTTGTCGACGGCCTGCTTTGGCCTGTTGCACGGGTCCCACCCTAGCTGCCCGATCCTGGCTTTTTGCTAGGAATTCTCCAGGGTTCTCCGTGTCTGACTGAAGAAAATGCCGTCCTCCGTCTGGCAATTCGGCTGCTTTCAGGTTTCCTTCGTTGCCGCTGGCGAGACCACGTGGCTTGGTCTGACCTCGGTGAAGTTGGCTCGACGAAAAAGCTTAAAAATGGAACTTGGTCGTTCCTGAATTAGTCCATTGTAACTTAACGGACTGATAACTTTAACAAAACAAAAGAAAGAAAGAAAATAAAACAAACTGAGGGGCAGATTGATGTTGCGGCACTTTGCGTGTGTAGCTTCAAGCAAACACAGGCCTGTTGCGCTGGCCGACTCTTAGGCGTTACCCGGAGAGGCACGCCGGACGCGTGCCGAAGCGTCCAGAGAGCAGAGCGGAAGGCCAGGGCACAAGGGGAAGAGCAGAGAGAGCCGAGAGAGAGAGCGAACAACGTCGCGTGTCGCTCTTTTGTTGCCTGGGGCGTGGTTCCCCAGAGGCCGTTTCAGGTTTCCCTAGGGACTGCCTTTCTAAACTTAATGTCTAAAAGAAAAGAAATCTATTTGTGCGTATTATATTCAAATATTTTCCCCAATCAAACCTCAATGGTCAAACAGTTGTACCGTTCTAAGTTAAGCATTTGGTAACAGGAAAACAATTGTCACATTATTGGTCAGGATATTTATACATTTAACGGCATTTCCAACGATGGTATGTAATACTTATTTCGTCCACTTGGGGGAGCTCAGGTTACATGAGGAAAGCTTAGATTAATCCAAGACCATCTCTCCTTAGGAACTGGGGAATTTAGTTATTCAGCCTTAAATTCAAGCTGGTGATTAAGAGGTAGAGTAGGACATTTCTTTATAATCATTTCTAAAGGAATTTTGTGGGAAAATATTGTGATCAAGCATTGATTACATATAACATGACGGAGTGTCCTTAACCTTGCTGAAAATAAAAACACTGCAAAAGTAACTTATTTAGATTCTTTCCAGCATTAATTTCAACAACAGATAGCAACAACATGGTAACATAACTACTCAAATAGAGGCAACATAATCAAGTAACTAAAAGATTTAATTAAACTTAATTAAATGCTTTGAGTCTTTGGAAACTGCAGTCTTTGGTTATTTAAAGTTCGGCTTCCTGGGTTATGTCACACTTGGGTGAGACAAGGAGTATCCCTTTGATGGGTTAATGAAACACAGACCCAGTTCAGTTGCCATGGTTACGTGTGTGGGGGGGGCAGTTTAGGATTTCCTGCCTTTCCAAGGAGATTCTGATAGGCTGTTCAGGGAAATAATAGTCAGGCACCGCGTTATCAGCTTCGTAGATCAAAAGGGTGCCATTTTTACGATCAACTGCCCAGGCATAGCACTTAAAGAAAGCAACTTTTCCACCCCCCCCCCCTGCCTTTGGGGTCTCATCAGCAGTTTGTTGAAGATGATCTTTAACCCCCCCCCGCTCCTCTCTGGGAGGGGAAAAGAGGGATTTGGAGTAGCTCCAAATTTATTTAATAAAATGCACAAATCCACACCGTTGTTTCACTACACTACTTTACTTTTTTTAAAAACACAAAACAATCTTGTTTCACACAGAACCCGAACGCTGGTCTCCCAGGTGAATAGCAGCTAACTAACCCTAACTTTCTTGCTGTTTACAAAATGTAACCGTCTTTGTCATATGTTTGCATTGTACGGCCACTAGAGGTCGCTACCACAATAAATTAAATAAAATTTTTAATTCAATTTTATTTATATAGCGCCAAATCACAACAACAGTTATCTCACAGCGCTTTTCATAAAAGAGCAGGTCTAGACTGTACTTTATGATGTTATTTACAGAAGCCCAACAATTCCCACCGAAAGCAAGCACTAGGCGACAGAGGCAAGGAAAAACTTTTTAACCTTTTAAGAGGCAGAAACCTCGAGCAGAACCATGGCTCAGGGTGGGCGGCCATCTGCCTCGACAGGTTGGGGGTGAAGGAGAGAGATGGAGAGAGAGAGAGAGCAGGAGGGGAACAGAGAGAAAAAGAGAGGGATGGAAGGAGAGAGAGGGGAGGGAGGCAGCCTAAACAATATACACACACAGAGGTACAGACATTAAAGGTGATGT